AGTTTACTGAAGACTTGTTTTCTGAAGATCCTTTGAAGATCACATCTTGTACAGTGTTTCTAAAGAATGTTTTTGATCTACATTGTCAAAAGAGAAGATCACCGAGATTCTACATTCGAGGGGGAGAATGTTAGAAGATCTATCTCAACAGTTGATCGCTTAAAGATTACAAGTTGAAGAAGACATATTGTGTATAAAGTTTCAAAGTTCAAACAAGGACTCAAAGCACAAAATTTTCTTTCAAGTCTGAATACAAAGGGGGAGAATGTTAGGACTGAGAAATCAGTATTAATTGTATTCGTCTTGAAAGTTTATAAATCATCTATAATTGTAAAAGTCAGCGTGTTTGACTTTTCATTAGAGTTTGACTTTGACTATTGTTTAGATGTGTTGACCATATAAATAGTGGTTAGTGTTTGTAATTAAAAAAAGAGGAGTTCATTTGTAATAATTCATACATAAATGAGAGTTTGATTGAGCTTTACAAGTTTGACCTTTTCTCTCAAGATTCATATGATGTTCTTAATGCAATATCAAGATCTGCATTATTATTATGATGATATGAAGATTGATCAGAGAAATTGGACTTCATAATTGTGCACACATATGCACTCTCACATACCCATAACCACATACATGCATCTATATTATGCATATTTTCACATACTAGCATGATTAAATGTATCAATTTATTATGCTGTCATGTAATCATATATAACAAATAATCACATATTCATTACCTCAGGTGACAACTAAGATCTGGTTATCACAGTAAATCCGCACAATATATATATATATGAATCATAATAAGTCAATTCTAAAAGCAAAATTGCTATACCAACAATTGATACTTCAAGGCATTAAAACACTCACCTTAGAATGTTGATCGGATTAAGCCTGCGATTTACCTTTAGTCTTCACTCTAAACCGCCTTTCCATATACAAATCCACACTCACACACAACTCTATCATATATATATATATATATATATATATATGCATATAAACTTATTTCCCAATTATTAAATCAAAATTTGTAACCTGAATATTACGCAAGATTTGGTTGAAGAACGCCCCTTAGAAGACAGCTGGAGATGACAAATCGACAGCTGGATTCTACAAAGATTTACTATGCTTTATTTAGATAAGCTTTCCTTTCCCTAAAAGATTTGCTAGATATTCTCCATAGATAGCTATATCCTAATTTAGCTTTCTAGTATAAATAGGCATTAGGACTCTTGTAATCGGTTACGCTTTTCATATAATCATTTGGAATAAAGTGAATCTTCCAGCACTCAAATTATATTCCTGAATATTCTTAATTGTTCTTGAGTGTTCGTCATTTTATTCATCCACACAGCATATTTAGGTTATTCATAACTTAAGTATTAGTGTTATTGAGAGATCGGAGATCAACACAAAACAACATTGATCGACCAAGAACACACGAACCCTAATCGATCAAGAACCCTAATCGATCAAAGAGAAGCTATTGCATGCAACAATCGAACATCAAGAAGAAGTTTATTCAAGGTATATTTCACAATTACTCATTTTCAACATGTTTTTAATCGATTAGTTGTGATAATCATGTGTATCAATGTCACTCGACTTGATCATGGTTTCAATGGGTTATGTTAGACATTATCACAACGATTTCAGATGGTTTCGATAGGTTAGGATTAGACTAGGTGTGATAATCATGTGATATAGGTGTGATAATCATGTGATTATCACACAATTATCACAAGGATTCC